CTAGATGGAATGCCTTCCTGGACTGTTGAACTCCATCTACCCGAAGCAGCTGCTTATGAGGTACTAGTTTTTGCCTTTGAACATTCTCCAGCTTCAAGCTGCTTTTTAGTTGTCAGAGACTATTTCAGATGCATGCGATGGAAGCATTTGACTATGCACATATTGATCATCATATCACAAACACCCAAAATACCACTGTTAAGAAAATATTAGTAGATAATAACAAAATACACTGTAGCATTAATTGCAAGGAAATGCTCAAAGTACTTGAAGTTATTGTTATACAAAAAGCCTCCTGCATTAAATAAAATATATTTCAGACAGTACTTTAAAGTGTGTATAAAGTAGTGAATATGTATATATAAAATATTTCATGTATTCTTTTCCAGTGCAGTTAAAAGCTTTAGAATCTCTGTTAAAATGCTGACAAGTAAATTAATCTATATTTGTCTTCTATTCCCTTGATTGATATTAAGCACCTTCTCATGTACAATACCATTAATCTTTCCTTATATTGTTTAAGACACAAGATACAAATCAAGTGACATTTACAATGCAATTCAATTTGATATCTCTACATATGACTCTTAGTGATTTTTCATATTAAAGAATAAAAATGAGCCAGAAGTATATTTCCATTTCAAAATGTATTTTTGAATATTCAGGGAAAGGTGTTATATCCTGTAGTAATAGACGTTAAAGATTCAAAACATGTTATTTCAGGAAAATAGATTTTTCAAGTCCATTAGCTGCTCTTTCCAGTAGTGATGTGGGTTTCTTTCCTAACCTTTTATTTGAAGTAGTGTAGAATGTCAACATCTTCATTATGTCTTTATTTTCTCTTTGAGATACAAAGGTATTTCCCAAATCCTTCAATGACAACTGTGACTGTGCTTTTCAGCTATGCAAGCCTTTCTATTTCATTTCTCCTTTTACTCAGTTCCTACTTTGCTATCCAATGGGCATCAATCAACCACCATTTGCTCCATCTGTTATCCTTTCTTCTTTGTTTCTGTTTTTTAATCACTTCTCTATATATTATCTTGATCTGGTCACCATTGTCTTTGCTATTAAGAGATGCTTTTCATGTGTTGAATCTTTAAATGCACAAATTAATCGCTATTGCAAGGGAGATAACTCTGACAAAGTAAAAAGTTTTTGAATACTAAAGTTCACTCATTACACAGCTCAAGAGCAACTCAAGATAGAGGGTAACTGTTAAAATGGTAATGATGAATGAGGTGTGTGATATAAATGAAAGAGGAGATGGTAAGCAATGAAGCTTATGATGACAAGAAGGACAGATAGCAATTAACCCTTGACCTTAAGGGGAGATTGTAGTATTTGGCAAAGCATCCATGTAGGTGTCTTTTCCACAAAATAGTAATTCTTGGTGTTGTAGCATACCTATGGAAAATAATGACTATGTCCCCATTCACATAAATACAGTAGTAAATACTGTATGTTGGTATGCAGTTGGAGATTCATTGTGGAATTCACTTGACTCACTTCTAGCAGTTGACTACTATTTCTACAAGCTGCTGGCAAATCTTATATGTGTTGTTCTTGTCCTAAGTATTATCATTCATTACCAACCTTCATTTGATTATTCTATTCAGTAACCTTTCTTAGGTTATAACACTTGGGAAAAGCTATTTGAGTGGAATTGTTTTCTTACATTTGGAGGAACTTTCTCCTTACAGACATTACAGACAAAAAAATCCACTTGATATATTGTACAGCAAGATTCTACAAATATGACAAATTTCCTTTCTGTCTTTGATTACTATTTTTTTAATCAAATATAAAATTTTACAGAATTTTTTTTAGATAAGGAATTATCACTATTATACAATGATTTGTATACATATATCAATGATAAAAAAAAATCATTTACTTGAAGCATATGATGATAAAT